TGGTGTGGCGTGGTCAGCTCTGCCCGTCTCTGAAGTGCTGGCTGACGGACGGACAGCCTGACAGCCGGCTGAGGTTTTGGGGTTCCGTTGTTCAAATGTGGCTGTTTAGCATCTACCTTGTGGGCGTCCCTGTCATAAGGGATGGAGAACGGGGTGTGCTTTCTTCTCAGTTTATTGATCGATCATCTGCTTAGTGGGCATGTAGTCCGTACCTGTCCCTCATCTATTGACCTGACTCTTGGTGGCAAAACCCGGTGCAAATGAACTTCACAAAGAAAGGCAGGATTAATTGATTCACCTAGTGGGGAGGTCGAGGCAGAACTGGCCTGGGTATAAAAGGACCGGTGGGGCCGGCCCTGTGGCTTAGCGGTTAAGTGCTGGTGCTCCGCTGCTGGCGGCCCGGGTTCGGATCCTGGATGTGCACTGACACACTGCTTCTCCGGCCATGCTGAGGCCGTGTCCCACATACAGCAACTAGAAGGATGTGCAGCTATGACATACAACTATCTACTGGGGCTTTGGGGGAAAAAAATAAAAAAAAAAAATTATTAAAAAAAAAAAAAAAAGGACCCGTGGACTCATTCAATACACATTTTTTAAAAACTTTTTTATTAAATAATAATATACATACAGAAAGTGCAGATATCAGGAATGAATTTTCGCTAACTGACCACACTTAGGGAACCAGCATCCAGACCAGGAAACAGAACATGACAGACATCATGGGGGCCCCCCCCACCGCTCCTCCCAGACGCCGTCTTTGGGTAGCCCCTCCCTGCCCTCAAACAGCACAGAGCGGTTTTGCCCGTTTTTGTAGGATGTATCAGTGGAACCACACAGCCCCCACTCCTCCGTGTCTGACTTGTTTCATTCAACGTTGTGTTTGTGATGTTCGTCCATATTATTTGTGCCCATAGATCTTTGTTCCCGCTGATGTCAGTCTTCCGTTGTTGAATCCGCTGCACTTTGTGTAATGGGCACGTGAGCCGTTTCCTGTTTGGGCTGTTAGGAGAGTGGGACGGTGACCTTTGGTGCCTGACTCTTGTGAATGTTCGTACGTAGTCTGAGGTGTTGGTTGTAGGATGTGTGCACGTTCGCCTCTAGTTGATACTGCCGAGTGGCCGTCCCAGCCTGTGTTCTCGCCACTGAGGGCTGGTGGCTCTGCACCCTGGTCCTTGAATCCGTTCAGTGCCCACTGGGCGTTCTAGGAGGAACGTAGGGACCTCACTGTGGTTTCAGTTTACATTTCTCTGATGATTAACTTGAGCTCCTTTTCATATGTTACTCGCTCTTTGGATATCTTCTTTGTGAAGCCTCTGTTCACGTTTTTTGCCCATTTTACAAGTCGGATTGTCTGGCTTTTTCTGACTGGTGTGTGTGAGTCCTCTGTGTTCTGGGTGCGAGTCCTGTCAGATTCATGTGTCTCATGGAATCCCCTACTCTGTCATTGCCTTTTTACTCTTTTGGTGAGTAGAAGGTCTTCATTTTTATAAGTCCTGTTTGTTACTTTTTTTCATGTGTGGTTAGCACTTTTTGAACATTATTTCAGAAATCTTTGTCTACTCGAAGGTCAGGAAGATGTTCTCTCTAGGACTTTACTGTTTACCTTGTATGTGTAGATTTGCAATCCCTCGGGAATCAATGTTTGCGCGTGCTGTAAGGTGTGGTCGTTTGGGCATCCCGTTGACCCTGCACCGTTCACTGGGGAGACCATCCTCTCCCCACTGGTCAATTTGTCTGTCCTTGTGTCGTTAGCACACTGTCTCAGTTACTGTCGATTTACAGCATGCCGTGATGTCTGCCGGGGAGGTCTTCCAGCCTGGTTCCTCTCCCACAAGGTCGCCACAGCCAGCTGGGCCCTGGGTCTTGTAGGTGAACTGTAGGTCACTCGGCACATGCTTGTTAACACCCACACTGATGTCGGGCCTCCTCCACTCGCAGTTTCTGTGTAGTTGACCTTGTTTTTCCCTGTAGCAAGTGGGCTTCTTCCAAGCCGGGAGGGAAAGAGATGGGAACATGTCACAGACAGTTCAGGGTTTCATCGTCCCAGCTAGCAACCTCCGAGGAAAGAGAAAACTTCTCTCCCAGCTACAGAATATGAAATTTCAGGAAAAAACCATGGTTGGCCTAGCCTGGGTCACATCTCCACTCTTACACTGATTGCCATGGTCAGAAAGAAGGGGATTCAACATTGACTAGACTCAGGCAGGTGCCCATTCCTGTGGAGTGGAGAAGGAACTGCTCCTTCACAGAGAAGTGGCTGCCAGGCCGACTGGAAAATAACAGCAAAATTAATAGAGAGGGGTCTTTGAACTGGCTCTGATGGCTGAGCACGAGTTCTTCAGTGAGACGTCCCAGGAACAGAGGGCCCCAGCAGAGACGCAGAGGGCTGAAAGTGCAGTCCGTATTTGTGCTGTGGTAGGAGACAAGCTAAACATGATGACTTGAAAACTTATGTCCACACAAAGTCCTGCACATGGCTGTTTGTAGCCACTTTATTCATAATTGCCCAAAACTAGAAGCAGCCAAGGTGTCCTACAGTGGTGGGTAGGTCAGCAAACCGTGGTCCCTCCAGAGGATGGAATACTATCTAGCGATTAAAGAAACGAGCTAGCAAGCCACCAAAAGACATGGAGGAACCTTAAATGCATAGTGCTAAGTGAGAGAGGCCAGTCTGAAAAGGCTCTACCCTGTGTGATTTCAGCTCTGTGACATTCTGGAAAAGACACAGCTATGGAGGCAGTAAAAAGATGAGTGCTTGCCAGGAGTTGGGGTGGGGTGAGGGCTGAGTGGTGACACAGGGGATGTCTTAGGTGGTGAGGCTACACTGTGTGACACTGTGTGCTGCACACGTGACACGACACATTTGTCAAAGCCATTGAACTTGACAGCACGAAGAGTGAACCTTAATGTACGCAAAACTTTAAAAATTGTTCAGGAGGATGGGCAATTCCTAGGATGGAATCTAGAATGTGACAAAACAACCCAACTTAGATTAAATGAAACAGTCTTACTGAAGGGGGTGGTGGGAAAGGTGCTGACCTCAGTAACTCTGGAAATGAGTGAGTTTGTAAACTAAAGGCAGGAGAAAGTGCACTGAGCATTGTGCTCTAGCTGATAAAGTGTTTCCATGGAGATGGGGTACCATTTCTCTACTGCTACATGGTGCACTGGATCAAACAAGTAGGTAGATGGACGGTGGATGGTGGGAGCCAGGCCCTTCCTGTGGGGTGGGAGGTTAGCTCAGCAAGGGGAGGGGGCTGGAATGACCACATGATGGCAGATCAGAGGGGGAGACGTCAGTGTGGACGTGTGTTCAGTTACTAGACATCCAGGGGGCTACATGTAGAAATGTTTACAGACGATTGTATACACATGGTATACACACACAACACACACACATTTCCTGGCTCTGTCGGCTGCGAGAGCCTAGAGGCAACACCACCCCAGTAGCAACAAGCACATCCAGTGCCCAGGTGTCGTGGATTCTACCATCTCCAGTGAAAGGAACCCGAGACCCTGGAGCAAGGGCTGGCTCTAGGACTGGGGCAGGAGACACACGGGGTGAGCCTGGACCACCTTCTAGTGCCAGAGAGTAAGGAAGTGCTCAAAACACGTAAGACACTGAGGGGGCACGTCAGAGGGACACAGGGGCCAAGTGAAAGAGCTCCCAGTGGCCAAAGTGGCAAGATGAAGTCGTACTGGATTATGAGCCAGAGCATAACGTTAATATCCACGAGTCCATACTAACATCACTAAGTGACTGAATAAATAAATGGGGGGAAGAGACAAATCTCCTGTAGAGAAGAATCCCAAATAGCAGCCACTCTGCCCTCAGGAAGGGGAGCACAGCCCCCCAGCCTGAGGTGTGGGCCGTGCACGGTGACTTCCTTCCAGAGAGCGCAGTGTGGATGGGCAGGCGGGAGCAGACGGTGGAGAGACCAGGCGCACACACCTCAGCCAGGTGATCAAGGTCACCCTGACAGTGTGCAGCCTTCATGGCACATGCTGAGAAGGACACCATACCTCTAAGTCTTCCTCCCCGGACCCATAACCTCAGTAATCACGAGCAGAACATCAGACAGATCCAGTAGAGGGACAGTCTACACAACCCTTGAGCAGCACTCCCAACACTGTCAGGGTCATCAGAAATGAGGCAAGTCGGAGAAACTGTCACAGCCCAGAGGAGCCGAAGGAAACCTGAGGACTGAAAGTCTTGTAGGATCCCGCCTGGAACCCTGGAACAGACAAGGGCATTAGGGAAAACTCAGGAAACAGGAAGAAAGCGGAGACTTTAGTTCACAAGAACGTGTCAGTGTTGGTTCATGAATGATAACAAACGTACCACGTGACATGAAGCATGGTGACAGGGCCACCGGGCACAGGGTGGATGGGAGCCCTCTGAACTGTCTTCACAATTTTCTGTAAGTTTGTTTTGTTAACCTATGGGCCCCACTCTTAAAGACCCTGGGACAGAAGGGTGGACGAGAGTCCTGCCCAGGGCGGCATTGCAGGCCAGCGAGAGCCCCAGCTCACTAGAGTATTTGCCAATAGAATGTTTAAGCAGTGTAGCACTTTTAAAGAGCTGCCCGTCACAGTCTGTTTTACGGTTGGCACCTAAGAAGACTAAGAGGAGAGAGTGGTGTGTTGAGGGCCTACCATGTCCAGAGGTGCATTGGGTGGGGTTTTCTTGTTTTCTCCCCCACTCGTTCCTTACAACTCCCTGACGTAAGTAATGGCACTGTTGCCTTACTGCTGAGGGCACAGGAGCCTGGGGGAACAGACCAGCTGAGTGGCACCTGCTAGGGGAGGGCTGGGTCACCCTGGGCGGCCTGACTCCCCTGGCGCTGTGTCTGCTGTGAGACTTTCCCGATTCTCATGCTCAGTGTTCGGTGTTGGAGGCGCCCCTGCTCTATGAACGCGTCGTCTCCTCTGTCTTCATCGCAGAAGCCTCGGCTTCGGTCCGAGGTGAGCTGATCTCCTGCCATGTGGTCCTGCAGGGCGACTACGACCAGAGCAGAACCAAGGTGCTGCACCTGAGCATGAACCCGGCCAGCGTGGCAAAGCAGCGGCTCCGCGAGGACCGGGCCCAGCTGCAGGAGGAGTGTGAGCGGCTGCGGGAGCTCGTGCGCGCCCTGGAGAGAGGCGGCCCCGTCCCCGCAGACCTGGAAGCTGCCGCCGGTCTGCCCTCATCCAAGGAGGTGACAGGTAGGTACCTTCCCTGTCCTTGACGGTCAGTGGGCAAGCCGACCCAGACGGCCTGGTAGGGCAACTCAAGCGTCTGTCCGTCCTGTGCAGGGAGCTAGGCCACGGGAGAGCCTGGATGGGGCGGGGCCTACTGGGGGGCAGTGCTGAAGGGTTAGTCAGCCTGGGCCTGCAAATCACAGCAGGAAGTGACTCAAGCAGCAGTGGAGACACAAGGGGCTAAAACCTTTTCAGATCCCCTAAGACAAAAATCACTTATCAGTTTACAAGTGCCCAGTTAATCATGAGTAAATCCAGTACTCCGTGGAAATAGAGACCATCTTTCACTGGTCAGAGTACCTTTCGCAGGACGTGGGGAGCCCTCTGCGGCCGAGGCCTGCGCCAGTGCAGAGCGTGCAAGGCCAGGGGAAGCTGCTTTCCCTAGGACACACATCTTCCCCTCGCTCTGCAGCTGTCAGTCAGGGTAACTGCTTCCGAACGTGCGGCTCGTCACCTCCAGTCTAGGAAAGTGACCACTGGAGCCTGGTCACTCCACGCCTTGGAGGGTTTTACGGTCGCCAACCCCTGCCCCAGGAACATCCACACTGCAAGGGTGGAGAAAAGCAGGTCCATCAGCACAAAGGGGGACACCCTTTGGGGCCCAGTATTCCCAGGGTCACCATACACAGTGCGGCCCCGTGGGGAGGGCTGGGGTCCAGAGGGACGCCCGCAGCCTTGCTCTGCTGTTGGAGGGTGCCTGGCGCTGCTGCCCACTCAGGGCCTCAGCTGGCCTGGGAGGAGGGCTCCCCGCTTGGTCAGAGCAGCACCGACGCCCCTCAGCTCTCACGTCTGCTGACAGCTCTTTTTGCCCCGCTTTGGGGATATTTGCAGGGACGGCGCATTGGGGGTCAGGCTGCTGTTTTCCTGACTTTTGCTTCTCGTGTTTCTAAGTTGTTCTTCCTCTCTGAAGCCCTCCCTGTTTCCTGTTCATGCATCTGTCATCTCACCCCTGTGAAGGCGGCCAGGCAGTTATCCGTTAGTCAGAGTCAGAAAGGGTGTGTAGCCGTCATTTTGTCTTCCTCCCTTGGCTGTGACGAGCCCAGTCTGGACTGGGCTGCTCTCAACATTGCTTCTCGGTCTGGGGTCTCAGATGCAGTCCCCTCTCCCTCTGTGTGTTTCACTGTCAAGCTGACATGGAAGTAGCCTTTCTCAAAGGGCCTGGGGACAGTGGTCACAGCCCTGTGAGATCATGGTGGTAGCAGGCCCTCGGCACAGTGTCTGGCACACACAGGACTAGGGGCTGGCCTGGTTTGTGAGGTCGAGGGCCCTGGGGTCAGCCAGCCCTGGGTGGGTTCCCAGGTCTGCCCCTCCTCACACTGTCACCCTCTTGAAGCTGCAGGGTCTTGCTGTACAAGTGAGACTGACAGTCCTATAGACGACAGGCCTCAGAGCCCCTAACACAGTGCCTGGTACACAGTGGGCGCTCAATAACTGCTCCTCATCGGATGCCTCTGGTTCTTAGTCTTGTCCCGGTTCCCATGACCTATCCCCAGGACCCTCGGCCACTGTCCTCTGTGAGACTGGGGTTCATGCACCATTGTGGGGTTCAGCTGTGACTCTAGCAGGATGGAGTTGAACAGCAATCTGCCAGCCTCACCTGAACTCTGCCTCTGGGTGTTTCATAAGGTTACATTTGCTCTGCAGCGACTTTCCCGTTATCTCATATTGGGCTTATGAACAGCGAGCGCAGGACATGTGTGCACGAAGTGCACGCCCTCTTGTGTACACATGCACACACGCACCCTTTCACACCTCTGCACACACAGACCCTTTCATGCCTCACGCACAACCTTTCTCATCTCATTTTTCAGAGGTAGTCTGGATCTCTAACCTCTGTGCAGGACCATAGGGACCCTTATTAAATTCTGTCCCTTTTTCTGTAAATCAGAGCATCAGGATACAGTAAGAAGTGTGACAGAAGGATGTCTGAATTCCTAGACTGTTCCCTTTCTCCTGGGCGGAGTAGAGATTGTCACTAAGGCAGCATGAGGCCCCGCCAGAGCTCAGAACCCTGGCGTGCCACCCTCCAGGGTGCTGCTCTGCTCTCCTGCCGGGCAGCCAGTCCCTGTGCTTCTACATTCTTCTCACCTCCTCACTGTTCAGTTCTCAGCAGCAGCAGCTGCTTGAGGCCACTGGGCAGCAGCCAGATCTCAAGAGAGGATCCTGGAATCCGGGCATGCAGAGATACAGGCGTCCCCAGAGCCTCCATTCTGGGGCAGCAGACAGAGCCCCCTCTTGCCAGGCAAACTGACCGTGCTGGCTGCCTGAGTGCCTGCTCAGGGGTTCTTCAGCCTGGAAGTGACCTCATGGCCAGCTCGCCAAATGTCCTGTCCTCCCCTGTGAGAGCCGGGAGAGGGGACGGCCTCTTGCAAGATTACTCGGCAAGTGGGTGGCCATGCTGTGGTTTTCAAGGTCTGAATTCTCGTTTCCTCCCAGCGTTTTTCCAGCCACGGCTCCTCTCCTGCCTCGAGCTATCTGTGTGTTCTTGACAAATTCAAGAGCTGAAAATGCGAACTCAGAGTGCTTTTAGGTGGCTCCTTACTTTGTGAAAGGATTCATAGAAGGGGTCACTTACCATCACCTGGTAGGATGGATCCTTTATCCAGGAAGGTTTGTCACACTTCTCCCGTCGAGCCAGTTCTGTGCTCAGTTGGGGGGACAGGGTTGCTTGGAGTCTGGCGAGGGCACTGTGACAGGTGCCCAAGGCCTTGGCGGACGGGGCTTAGAAGTTGCTTCTGTCTCACACTGCAGGGAAGGGTATCCATCGGCTTCCCTAACGGACCTTGGAGCATAAGTCAGGCCCCAGGCTGCCTGGAAGACAAGGGCCCAGGCCTCCCCGGGCAGCCCTGTGGCCCAGCCAGGTTGCTTGGAGTGAGGATGGAGGAGGCAGACTCGGGGCCACGGGCATCCAGGCAAAGATGCCAATTGAACACATGCCTCTGCTCTGCTGCCTCTCGAGGCCCCATAAATCATAGTAAGGGTGGTTTGGGGGTTTTGTTTTTCTTTTTCTTAAGGCTTAAACCCACAAAGAGAGAATTCAACAGCAAACCTTTGGAACGTGGAAGGTCGGTGGGTGGGTGGTAAAATGATGAGCAGACTCAGGAAAACGGAACTCTAAGCTGGCAACAGTAGAGCCAGGAACCAGCTAGTTCTGCCACCACACTCCCAAAAGGCCCAGAATTGGCAGCAAGTGGCATGGGGGAGGGGCAGTGCCTGGCTGAGATAAGGAGGGTAGGCAGGCTTGCTTGGGGAGTGTATGAAGAGGCAGTCAGATCCCCAGATCTCCCACCCAACTCCACGCACTGGGCACCTGCCTCTCCTCTCCCCCAGCAAAAATGAAAACCGGAAGACAAAAAACAGGTTCATTCTCTTGGAGCAGTGATTCCCAAAGGGTGGTCCCCAGGCTAGCAGCAGCCTCCCCGAGAACTTGTTAGAAATGTAGATTCTCAGCCTCCGTCTCAGACCTGCCGGGTCAGAAGTCCTGGGAATGGGCAGCAATCTGCAGCCGTCCAGATGCTCGCTCACATTTGTGAACGCTGCTCTGGAGGGGGATGGAGAGGACCCCTGGACAGGACACGGTTCAGGACAAGCACTGAGCTGGACACAGGGATGAAGTGGATAGTACAGATGGACACCGAGGCACCAGCCCACCCTACACCCTCTCTCTGCTGCGTTCCCTTCGGGAACACCAGCTGCTAGCTGTAAGCCGCTAGGGCAGGCTTGTCTTGGGGAGATCTGACCAGTGAAGAAGACCTAAAGGCACTGACAGTGGAGGCGCCAGCTGGACAGCTCGGCCAGATCATTCCACAGTGACGTACAGGTGACAGACTTTGCTGTCCTGCTCAGAGGACCCTGTGCCTGTAGAACCCACTCCTAATTACCAGTAGATCACTGAGGATTCCCAGACATCTCAGAGATAGAGCGAGTAAACAAGGAGGAAAAAAATGCTGCTTGGAGGGAGCAGACCATCAGAGTGAAGAAACCTCTATAAAACTGTAGCCTGGATTATCCTCAGAGAGAAGGAAGGACGTTTCAACAACAAAACAAGAACAAGATACTTTAAAATTTTTTTCAAAGAGAAAATTAAACTTTTATAAGTTAAAAATATCAATAGTTGGGGCCAGCCCGGTGGCGTAGTGATTAAGTTTGTACACTCCACTTCGGCAGCCCAGGGCTCACAGATTCGGATCCCAGGCACAGACCTACGCATTGCTTATCAAGCCATGCTGTGGCAGGCATCCCACATATAAAGTAGAGAAAGATGGGCACAGATGTTAACCCAGGGCCAATCTTCCTCAGCAAAAAAAAGGAGAATTGGTAACAAATGTTAGCTCAGGGCTGATCTTCCTCACCAAAAAAGAAAAATATATATGTATATATCAAAAGTGAAAATCGTAAGATTTCTAAGATAAAATTGAGAGAGTTGATCTCAAAAGTAGAACAAGTGATGGAAAACAGGAGAAAAAAGGTAAAAGAATTAAAGTAACAGCCCACAAGGTCCAGTATCTGAATAATGGGAACTTGGAAGCAGAGAACAGGGAAAGGAGGAGGTCGAGTGTGGAATCGTTTCCCTGAGAGAAAGGAGGTGACCTCCCTGTGCTGGTGGGCACTCAGAAGGGCCTGCCAGTGGATGAAAGTGCTCCCATGCCAGGGTCCATCATCCTGAAAACTCTGAACATTGGGGACAAAGAGAAGACCCTGTAAACTTCCAGTAAGGAGAAAAATGGGTCATTTGTCAAAAGATCAGGAATCAGAACAGCTTCTGTCTTCTCAACAGCAACCCTGGAAGGGAGAAAGCCACGGGCGTTGCCTCCAGATCTCCTGAGGAGCCTGACTGCCCCTCACAGCCTGGCCGCCCAAACCCTCAGTCATGTCGGAAGGAAGAACTAAGTACATTTTCTGATGTTCAAGGTCTGAAAACGTTTACCTCCCATATCCCCTTTCTCAGGAGGCTAGTAGAGGGT